CTAATATCATAAAACCTATGCCCTCAAATTTCTTTATAGCAAAGTAATCGTTTCATAAGACCTTTGTTCCATATGAAATATTGTAATAAGCGATGCAAAGCCTTCTCTATGATAATGTATTCTAAGTATTGTTGTAAGCCCCTACTTTATTATGAGTTTTCCTTAATTCGTCAAATATGTAATAAGCTATTTTTCCCTTAGCCCCCTGAATTCGTTAAGTTAGTAGAAGCTATAAAAGCATTGAGATATCGCGTTAGTTGAAGGACATCCTATGGGATTCCAATATTCAATACATAATACATTTAATATACTTCCCTAACAAATCTATTGATAAATATTTACAATCAATTGTCTAAATAAATTACCAAATAACTAACGTCACACCTCTGGCGAGTTGCCTTGTCACATAAAGTCTATATTTTCGTGTATAAACTATAAATCGTACGATTCACCCCGTAACACTAGTTGTAGGTTTCGGGTTTTCACTCATGATTTGAATTCAAACTCAGTACAGAAATACTTCCCGACTGACAACTAGTAAAACGGGGAATAACACCTTTATTACTTCTACTGGTGAATAAATTTCCCGGTTTTATCGGAAAAATAACAAGCGTTGTTGGAAAAACTCGGTTTTTTCACTGATTAAAAGTAGTAATTACAATCATAAACTTCATAATGCGATCACATAGAAACCTGGAATAACCATAAGCATTGCCAATGTTAAAAAATATCTAGACAAAAGCTGGAGAGTAATATCTTCCATTATTAGCAGGTAACGACAATATCGATTAATTAGCCTTACATGAATCACAAAAAAGTGCATCAAACCGGTTTTTTTTTAATAAAATGCGTTATTATATAATTCTGATGTCCATAGTGCAACTGAGTAGATATGTTGTACTCTCTTAAATATAAATTTGTCCCAATTGGCGGACCAGATATAGGTGCCACCAAGGAAAATCTTTCATTGGGTGGGTTTATTTCTTACCGGCTTCAATTAGGGATTGCGTCCGGTAAATTATAAATGATAGGACAGATTAGTGACTGGACTCATCAACTCTTGACTCGAATAACTCCTTAATTCGCGAGTTACTCGCGAATTATCGTGACACAAATAACTCGAATAAAATCGAATAATAATTCAATCATATGATTCAAGTACTCCTCTGAGTTTAATTCACGATTTACGTGTTGAAACGAGTCCAGTCACAGCAATGTCCGCATCTATCTTCCATATTAGTGATGTTACCCAAGCTATGCGAAGTAACTAACGCGCTGGTTTATTCTATTGTCGAAACTATGTGATAGTCCAAACCTTGTTGAATAACTCTACATAAGTAAAAGATACTCACGCCTAACAAGCGTCAAATATAAAAATGATACTTTTTAAAACTTCAACCAATCACAACTTTTTTAAAGCTGTATATATCATCAATTTTCTAAATATGCGATATATGCATAAAATATTATAGCTTGTTCAATTCATAAATGAAAAAAAAAAACAAAAATTTCTTCGACAGAATCAACAGACAAAAAAAAAAACTATTAGATTGTCAAAGAATTTTTTGGTTCGGATATCTTTTGTTACTTATTTACTATGATAAAACTTGCTAGTGAAATTAGAATTTAAATAAATTCTAATAAAATGCATATATTACTTCTTTATTATAAAAACGCTATTATGATAACTTGAATATAAACTTGTAACCACCTAGAAAGCTCTAAGCGCACTTTCTTTGAAATAGTGCTGACAATTTTCCTAGCCGAAAAAATGTTAACCATTCAAATAGCCGAAATGATCAATAATTTCTTAGGCCAGGGAAAATTATTAACACTACTTAGACCATGTGCTAAACTATGAAAGCATGCATTTTGAGAATGTGTTTGAGAACATTATAAGATCCCTATTTGTATATTGATAGAGAGTGATTAAAAGGTTCTCTACACGTTAATATACCAGTGTTTCACACAACAATAATTTACGCTAGCTTTAATAGTTATTAATAATATTCATATGGAACAAAGGTCTTATGAAACGATTACTTTGCTATAAAGAAATTTGAGGGCATAGGTTTTATGATATTAGTAACCATGACAAAAAACGATATAAAACGAGGTCTGAGACGTGAATGTTTTCAATCAGTTACAGAAAATAAGTTTCGGACAATAACATATTGTCAAATATCAAGAACTTAAAGTACATGCACTTTATGAAAAGTATGAGACGTCCAGAACAAGCGTCTTATTCCGCTCTGTCGCGATCACTCAATATCACCTAATGTAGTAATTTCTCTATGGCGAAGTAATCCAAAATTGCCCATTGTCAAGACCGATAATCCGATAATCCTACATTAACAATTAAAGTTCATATAAATTAAATATATTGTGTGTATATGTTATGTAATATTACAAATGGTTGTTTGTTTTTTGATATCTCAAATATATTCAAGATTATCAATACGCCCAAGTTAACGTTAAATAGGTTTTGTGACTAGGATAAGCATATTTCCATTCTATCGGAATCTCCCCAATATTATTGCATTATTATGTTACACTGCAAAATTTTTAAATGATTTCCTTTTCCCAAACTCCAGTTAATCGTTTTTCATTCATCTTTTAGTAAAATAAAGGACACTAATGTATTTTTTCGCAGTTAAATTTAGAATTTAAATTTAGAATTTAAATTTATAATTTAATACATACCACTAATCCTTAAATTTAAAAAAAAAATTTCAAATCCATTCAAACTTTGCTCCCACGACATACATACTGTACATATATCTGCACATTAGATATCTGATGTGTAACCCTTATCTTACCATACATTGTCCTATTCCGACACAAATAAAACAATTACAAATTTCATATCGAGCTTTTCTACTTACGGTGACCATATATTGTAAAAATTCAGAATAAAGTTAGAGTCTTAGAAGCAGAAGAGCCATTATAACTTTTGTCGCTATCAAATTATTTAACCATCGTAAGCTTCTACTGTAAATGGTCAACTCTTAGAATAATAGTACGTACGTACTGTACGCACGTACGTATATATGTACGTACGTACATTATCAGTTATTGCTGTATTGAACAAGATAAAATTATATCCATTTTGGTATAGGCTGGGCTCATAGATGACTTTTGATTAACTTGATAGATTAAACCCACATAACCTACCTTACCTTACATTATGCAGTTGAAATATATGCTGTTAACTTTTAAAAGATATAACAGAATTATGAAAAAATTTTGATAAAAATTCTTTTTGTTTTCTCATAGGATATTTTCTTGTAAATTATATTATATAACCTGTGAGGATTCATTCAATATATCTATTCTTCTCTTTTATCATTTGTAGGATATTTTAGGCATCAAGAAATTACATTACAATAGCTTACTTATCTCAATCGTCACGTGTATCCAATATCAAGACAATCATTAATTAGCAAACAAGCTGTGACAATAAAACCTTTAGACAGTTATAGGAAAATAAAAAAAAAAAGGAAAAAAAATTTAATTATTCTCAAAAATTGTACAATTTTAAAGTAATTAAATTCAAATTTACAAGCGTTTTTTTTTTTTTTTTGTTTTTTTTTTATATCTTAAAATTAAGAAAACTACATAATAAAGCGAATTATTGAAAGTTATTGGGCAATTCTGAACTGTTTTGGAGACATTATTTGAAAAATGTAATAAGGAATATTAAAATAATAAAAGGGATTAAATCGTAAAGAAATTTAATAAACCAATTAAGCACCGATTTGCATAATTCGCTGTCTCTTAACAGTTTTATTTTTATTCTTAGAATTTTTCTTTACAGATTTCTTGCTTTCTTTTAATGGTTGTATTGGCAATTGATCTTTATTTTCAACATTTTTGTTTCCAAAATAACCATATCCATAACCTTGATAATCTGTAGCGACCTGTTTTCCTTTTGCCGTGTTTTTTATTGTATTTTTTTCAAATTGGTAAATCACGAGATCCGCGTTATCATTTGACTTAGGTCGAACGGGTATTATAGTGGATGAATTAGATGAACTGGATGATGCGAAGGAACTTGACGAGGTGAATGAACTGGGTGATGATAATGAACTAGGTGATACAGGAGATCCGATTTCATTAATTTGACTTGAAGGTCTCGATTTCCCTTTCCCTTTAGTCCATGAAATGTTTAATGTATTTGTTATTAAGTTTGTCTTCCTTTTCCCATTTGTTGATGACTTTGCAGTCTGTGATCCAGCAAACGCTTGAGATTTTTCTTCAATCATAACCCATTCGCATTCATGAACTAAACCTTTTCTTGGTTCAATAAAGACCCATTCACCCCAACGATCACCTTGATCGGTAGCAGTTGTTTCTATCCAAACAAAAGGAAATATTTCATCAATCGTTTCAATGCTTAAATGCGTGGTTATAGGTAAATCTTTCGATTGGTCAATTAAGTTCCAATCTTCTAAATTTTCTGCTTCATTTTCTTTAGCTTGGTCAGAATCAGACGAAAGTGACGCACGTTTTCTTTTCGAAGATTCTAATTTAGCAGATTTCTTTTTTCCTTTTAAGCTGTTTTTACGAGATTTCTTTCTGGAATTTCTTCGAGATAAATTTTTTTCAATAGAATTATTATTATTTCCAGAAGGAAATTCTATTGCTTTAAGAGAACCAGGGGTATTACTAGCAATAATTGGAGATAAATTTATATTTAAGAGAGTACAACATATCTACTCAGTTGCACTATGGACATCAGAATTATATAATAACGCATTTTA